ATTTTGGTTAAACTGTTATGATGTTTGTAATGAAATGTTTTTTCAACCAATCATAAACTGGCATTGTTATTATTTAGACTTTCAAGAAATGTTAACATTTCTAGTTATTAGTTCTAACTCATTTTGTTCAAAAAAAAAATAATAACAGTTAATAAACATTTGAACTAAAAACTATTATGATCTCAAAATAATTTTTTATTCAACCAATCAAAAAATACTTTAAATTATTATTTGTTTTTGCTCATTTAATATCATTTGGGTGCTTTTTTTATTACCATTTTTATTTTGAACTAAAACCTGTATGATCTAAAGTTATGTTTATTTTACCAACCTAAAACATTTTTGAATTTTAGTGCTAATATAATAAATCTAACTTTCTGTTTTTGAATATTTTGAAATTTAAATTTATTATTATAAAGTTTGATTTGCAATTCTCGTCAATTAAATTTGATTGGCCAAAATTAATTTTGGTAGACCAAATATCATTTTTTCAAAAAAGTAAACAAACATAACTTATTGATCTGCCATTATTTTCAGTGCTGATATAACAACTGATAGCTAAGGATACTCACAGTAAAAATATACATACATCTACTATTGAGTTTTAGTTGGGAAGGTGAGTTTAAGTTGAAGAAGAAAGGCTTTCATTTTTTATTATTCATTTATAAAAAAAGGTGGATTTGACAAATGTCTTTAACTTAGAAAATACTTTTGAACTAAACATTTATTTTTTGTTGTTATTATTTTTTTAATTCAATTGTTAATTCCAATAAAAAGTTAAAAGTCAAAGCTAGAGGCAGTAAACTGTAGGGTTAAATTTGATTATTATTGATTACTTCTTGCATGGAAGAACAATAGTTCTTCCATGTAAGAAGTAATCAATAATAATCAATTCAACACAATGCAAAGCGAATTAAACAAAGCAGGTATTTATATATTTATATTATAACACTTTATATCATTTTTTTTTATGAAAATGGCTTTTCAGGTGATCAAGTTTGATCAATTTAGTTTGCAATAAAGGTGCTAAATAATCATTGGTTGACAACAATAAAAAATCAACTTTATAGTTAGAAAATTGTATCAATGCTGGTAATCCTCTTATGCCATGCATTATTTCTAAAATCAAAACTTTTACTTATTGTTAATGAGAGTAAGGCCTCAAACAGCAATGTCTTACTCTTGTTAAAAAATAAAAGGTGTTACTGTCGTTAAAAAATATGAAAAACTTTTGGTTAAACGAAAATAATATATCAATAATATTTGTGTACAAAAATATCTAATTACCCGCGCAATTATTTATTATTTAAAAAAATATCAACATGATTCTCCTTCGTATGTGATAATAGCAAACAAAAAAATGCAAATCATTGTTCGAAGCTAATGAACCTCTTCTAATTAACGGCTATAAAATACTTTTTTAAAGATTAAAAAAATTAAAAAAAAAAAATTAATAGATCAGGCAAAAATTTCATTTTGTTTTTCAAAACTAAAAAAGAAGAAAAAACAAAATATCTAAAAAGAAGAAACGAATTAAATGAGAGAATTTAAAATAAAATTCAAAAGTAACATAACGAATATCTTAACATCTTTACATCATCACAAGGATTTTAAAAAATTTAAATGCTTGTTTTTCAAACTATTATCATTGGTTGCTTTTGTTTGTTCTTTTAATTAACCATTGACCTCCATAATTTACTCTCCTCTAATGAAATATTAATAAAATAATGTATAAAATATAATATTAAAATAAAATATGATACAAAGTTGTTGTTTTTTTAAATTAAATAAAGTTTCTTGTAATTAAAAAACGTTTCTTGTAACTAAAAGTTTCTTGTAACTAAAAAAACTAAAAATATATTTAGTTGATTTGTAGATATTTGTATATGCAAAAACAGCTTAAAATTCTTTACAACTTTACAGGTATTTGTACCTTAAAATGTAAAATACCTGTACCTTAAAATGTAAAATACCTGTACCTTAAAATGTAGGCAATTTTTTGAATAGCCATTACAATTTTTGTTTGTTTTTTCAGAATTTGAACATACTTTATAGTCATTTAAAATCTCTTGGGATTTTACACTCTTTAATGAATCTTACACTCTTTAATGAATCAGCAACAACTTTTAATACAAAGCAATTTGTAATACTTAGGGTTTTTGTTACCCCCTCCCATTTTTGGTGTTGCAGAAACCAGTCTTGTACAAGCTATAAATGTTATTCCATTTTGCTCTTTTCAAAATTTGAGGAAAGATTTTCAATGAAAAAAAAATCTTTAATTTGATCTGAAGATTTTGGTTTTATTTTTTTGATTTTTTAAATATTTGATTTTTAAATATTTGATTTTTTAATTATTTGATTTTTTAATTATTTGATTTTTTAAATATATGATTTTTATAAAATTAGTTTTAGCTCTTGAATAAACCTTGTTATAAAAAAACTATTGTGAGCTGTGTAAGTAATAAAAAGAAAATAACAATTAATATGGTTATCTTTATTAAACTGGTTTGAGATATTTTTAGAAATTTTTATTGTTGGTCTGCTAGACCTAAAATTGAAAAATATAATTTTAAACAACTTACACTCTTTAATGAATCAGCAACAGCTCCACAAAAAAAGCCCTAATTAACATTTAAACCTTAAAATGTAGGTTTTATTTTAGGGCAATAACTTTGGAACAACTTTTTTATTTCTGTTGAAATTTTGTGAAATAATTACTTAACTGTTTTATGTTAAATTCAAGTAAATAGATTGTATAAATAACTTTCAGATTTTCAGCTATACTTTATTATGTATGTTTTTTGTACCTTAAAATGCAGGTGAGATTTTTTAAAGAGCTAAAAAGTTATATTTTAAATTACTCATAATACTTTTTAATTTTGTTTTTACAGTTAAAGTATATTAAAATGAGACCAAAGTTTAATCTTAGGTAAGACCTAAATCAAAATACCAAGCAGCTTCTTACAGAGACAAAATAGAAAACATTTTAGCAAACGCTGTTGATTATTGTAAAAAAAATAACTCTTGAGGCTACAAACCTGTTAAACAAGATGGTTATAATGTTGATCATAGAACTGTAAATCGCATTTTAGATGGTGCTAAAATTGGTGAAAATAAAAACCATCTTTCAATTTTGACAAAGGATGAGGAGAATGCAGTAGTACTGTATGCAAAAAATAAAAGAGAAGTTCTCTACTATTCTAAGAGAACTGTTTTTATTTTAACTGTACTAGAAAAATAGGTATAAAATAGAAATTTAAATGAACTAGCCAAAAAACTTAAAATTACAGGTATAATGAAAAACAGTGAAAAAATTGCAGAAGGAGTCTGGTATGGTATAATAGATACTAAATGCATATTTAATTATGACAAAACTCCACAATTCGTAAATTTTGGAGTTGACAGGAGTGCAAGTGGATTGATGTTTGCTGAAAAGGGTGTCACCCTTTGCTAAAATATGATCTGCGAGAACAGAGATTATATTACTATTCACTCACTTATGTCTTGAGCTGGAAATGTAGTTATTTGTCATGAAATATTTTCAGGAAAAGGAGTAACCAGCAAAATGGCACCACTGTGGAAAAGATTTCAAATTTGCCTATATCAACTACAGAGCATGGAATACAAGATCAAAATTCTCTACTCAATTTCTATAAATTCTATAATAGCAAGTTAACAGAGAAAAATGTAGAGAGACCTGGAGTAGTACTAACAGATGGTCACTCTTCAAGGTTTAACATAAGTGTCCTTCATTATTGTCCTAAAAAAAAAAGTGTCTTTTTGTTGGTCCGCCAGACACAACAGGTATAACACAAATGTTAAATCAAACAAATCAAGCTAACCAACATAAATAAACTGTTTTCTAGAATGATAACAATTGATTGTTCTGGGTTTATGGAAATATTGGGAGAGATATGGTCATCATGGACAACAAAAGAATCTTTAATCAAAGCAGCAAAAGTGGTTGGTATTGCAGAGTCAGGAATAAATGTTAACTGTTACAAAATGATAAATTTAAACAAGCAGCAAGATGTATAGCAACTATTCAGTCTTCTTAGACCCCAAAACAATGCTCTGTGCAAAAAGTCTCAATTGTTTTATTCCCTCACGATGTTAGAACAAGTTCTCATGATTATTACAGAAAAAAACTTGAAAATGCATATAGAGTTATCCATGATCTTACTGAACTTCCATTACCTATTGAAGATGGTCTGGATTTGCTACCATATTCAAAGGTTACCCAAAAAAACACCTCTAAAAAACCATAAAAGTAACTTAACAACATGGATCATTAGAGGGGAAAAAGGTCTTAGAAGGGGTAACTGAAAACTAAAATAAAAAAAAGAAAATAGATGAGAAAAAGCAGGAGAATAAAAAAAATCGTGCAATCATAAAAGAACAATTTACTAAATGCAAATATCAATGTCAATGTAAAGAAAGGTGTTGTGTATTTGGCTAAAAGCTGTGCCTTATTTGCAATGATATTTCAAAGTCAGTTTGTAGCTAGCAATCCTGCAAAGTTGACGGTATTAAATCAAAAATGATAGAAGCCTCTGAATCGATCATCAATATCAACTCTTGACATTTTTAAGAACATTTTTTTTTTTCTAATTAAAGTTGTGTTTTACTTGATAATTTAAAATTTATTTGTTATTTGATAAACAAGTCGTAAATTAAAATTGACAACAAAGATAATATTTTAGAGGTTTTAGAAAACCAATATTAGTTGCTTTCTAATTAACTTACTAGTATAATAAAACTTTATTCCAATTGATTTGAAAGTATAAGAGACCAAAATTCAATTACAAGCATTTTAAGGTATGCATACATTTTAAGGTATAAATACCTGTAAAAAAAATTAAAATCTTTATCTTATAAAAAAAAAAATTAAGATTATCATTAGACCCATTTCAGTTTATCACTTTACTTTCACTTTGCCACACACTTTTATAAATACTTTATTATTAAAAAAATTACTGAAACATATTATTAAAAAACACCTTGCTGATTGCATTACTAGTGAACGAGTCAACATAATTGACAAAAACTCTAACGACAACAGCTGATTCTATATCCATCATGTTTCTGATTTACTTTTTTTGGATCGCGGTCATGCTTTCCAAATCAGTATCATTAATAATGTTGATTAGTTCAAATATTCTGTTATTGACCAGGCATAAACAACAAACTAAATAGAAAGTACGATAAGTAACAGCGATAATACTGGGATTGTTTCAGTATTGTCGATTCAAAAAAAAAATCATGACGGAGGCAGGATGTTTTTCAAAAAAAAAACTAAAAACGTTTAAAAGGGGCATAACAATTATGAATTATCTATTTAACTTTGAGCAAAGACAATGTTAGAAGAATTTAAAGTTTTAAGTTATGGTCATTCAAAACTTGTGTCACGGAGAGAACGTTTGGTTCCTATTTAATCCACACATAATATCTTTACCTGAAACCAAATAGGTATTTATAGGAAGCATGTAAGATATTATGGGCCCCATCTTAACTTTTTAGTTTTTCTTTAATTTCAAATTTAGTTTAAGAAGGTCATTTCTTTTGAAAAAACAGACTTTTCAATCCTACCCCGGGAGATACCTAAACTGTTAGGAACAAAAATTAGATTAATAAAAGCTTTTTTTTTTACAACTTTGTTATATGACGAGTCTCGTAAAATTGAGTTTTGATTGATGGAACAAAAAAAAAACAAAGAGATGCAACATTACGACAATAGGAGAGAGGTTTAAGTTTGACAACTAGAGTCGGTACAAATATATTTACAATGTGTTTTTGTTCTCAAAATAGCTGCATTTTTTAATAAAAAGAAATCCATGGTTTAAAGTGAGATTTGACTTAAAACCAACAAGAAGGAATAAAAATATCCATACTTACCTAATCCAAATGACTTCATAAATGGCGCAGTTTTTAGTTGCGAGACATTTGCTCAACGACCATCACAGAGAAAATCACGAAAGAAATTTTATGCTCAGCTTGGAAATAAACAAAACAAAAAAGAACAAAGAGTAAGGTGGTTGAGTGAAACGATGCTAAATGAATGCACAAAAAAAGAAAACAAATTAGTGATTATGATGTTTTTTTATTTAATAATTTTTTGGCACTTTATTTTTATTTTTAAATATTTAGAGACCATGATTCAATCGTAGATAGTGCTCACTAAACAATAAACTTTTCAGTTGCCTCAGGCCTGCAATTTAACCCAAAGCTGTAGGAAATAGCTATTTCAAAAATGCACATCTAAAGCATTAACAGGGAGACCATTAATATGCAACATGTTCCTGTTTATACTTTGATATTTTACAGCTGCCGATGGAATAAGCCTTTCTGAGAGCTACCACAGAGTTTAAAAATCTAACTAGCAGCCGGCCTAAAAACTGAATTTTAGAGCAGTACCTTCATAAGCAGATACCAGAAAGAGTTGCGTACTCTGCGTGCTTAATTCAATGACTTTGAAAATTTTAGAGCGCCACCGAGTTTATAATAGGATTGAGGACTACCGTGTTTATTATCGGGTTGCAAAAGTTGCAGAAAAATTGTTAAAAGGATGAGTTTGTCAACAAGTCAACAAGTGTGTCGCGGTGTCACTTTATATGATATATCATTTTTTTAAAAATTATTTTTATAAACAAAGATTAGCATTACAATATTAAAAAGTTATTTGAATTTGGGTTCATTGGTCTATTACATAATTGTTGCAATCAAATACGTAATTGTTGCAATCAAGTACATAATTGATGCAATCAAGTACATAATTGTACATAATTGTTGCAATCAATTAATGTTTCTGCAAAGTATTTTTTTTTTTTTTTTTTTTTTTTTTTTTGTATATTAGCTGCTCAACAATTATCAAATTGCAACAGTGTACAGGGTGAGAGATCGCCTATAAAGAACGTAAACTCGGATGGGGAGAGGAGGTCTGAAAATGGCGTATATGAGATGATGAAGGGGGAGGGACGGTCAAAATAAAAGTGTATGTACTTTATGGACAACCCCTAAGTTGCAACACAATGCTTTGAATGTTGCAGAGTGCACAAAAAATTTATTAGTTACTTTGTAATTAATTTTATTTCACATAAGCTTTGTACTTATTATAAAGAAAAATAATTAAGCCACTGGTAACAGAGTGTTCCATTATGCTTGTTTGAAAAATACTTTTCATCATTTTGCATGGAATGGATGTGAGGAAGATAATTTGATGCATTTAGCTTATTTCCTTTCTTGAAAATAGGCGTTCCATTTGATTATCTCCACAAGTCGAAAACAACTCCAGCCACGAACGAGCACTTGTAGATAAGCGAAAGAGGCATGGTTAATGTAGTTGTACATTTACTAAGGATTCGTAGATGTAGCCGTCGTAGCCGGTTTACCTTCTTTCATCAAGATGGGCACTTTTGTTCCATAACAATAGAAAAACACGCTGGGTCAACAACACAAATTGCTTCAGCACGGCTTTCAAAGAAAGGCATTGGACATTTGGGCTCCAAAGCAAAAACTGATTGAAAATAGTTGTTCAACAATGACCATATATTGTCGGTATAGATAGTGATGCTCCTATTAGCTGTTTCTAGCAATGTAATAGTGTTCCTGACTGTCTGTTTGCTTTTTACATGTTCATGTTAGCGTTTAAGACTGCTTTTGGACTCCATGGCAAGTTTCTCTTTGTAGTTAAGCTTGGCAGATTTTTATAACTAAAAACTAGTAACTTGTGCTTATCTCAACCTGCATTAATTTACTTAGCCCAAGAGGCGTGTTTAGTCTTTACCGCCTTAATAAGATCTGGTGGTAACCTTTGCTCCTGTTTCTCAGTGAAGAAAGTAGTTGTTGATTGGTAGTTTTATGGCTTCATTATACACATTTACTAAGAGCAGGTAGTTGTTGTTTGCATTTAGATTAGTGAATTGTGTTTCCAAATCAACAGCTACGGAATGCAAATGAGTAGCACAAATTAAAAGTTGGTTCGATGAGATTGATGCAACTGATGGAACCTGACCTTCGATGTATAACATTCCAAAACAATTATCTAGAATGTTAGCAGACGTCGTTTAGCTTCTTGAGTTGGGTGTGTTTGGCTTTGAACTTGGTTTGTTGCTCCGGCGTTCTGTCTTCGAGTACGTAGACACCCTTGTATGTTTCTTTTTTTGGTGTGCGCATGTTTAGAGTATATCAGTTCAAGAGGGTTGTCCATTAATTATGTCAACAAAATAGGGGGGAGGGGGGGTCTGAACTTTTTTGACAATTGTTGAGACGGGGGAGGGGGAGGTCAATTAAAGTTGACGTCAACAATTTTTTTTTTTGAGTTTCATTGCTTAAATAACGGAAAATTAGGCTGAGTTTGTAACGTAGTTTCTTTGTACAGATGGGGGGAAGAGGGTAATCAAAAGTTGACGTAATTTTATAGGAGGGGTCTCTGGAAATTTGACAAATTGTTGACAAGGGGGAGGGGGGAGGTAAAAATTTCAAAAAATTTGTTGACGTATTTAATGGACAGCTCCCAAGATGAAAGATTAGATAATGAAACCTAGATAATGTTCGAGTTTGACAACTTTGTTTTTGTTTGTTTTGAGGCGGTTAACATGAACGATACCAGTAGCATTCTCTAATCCCGTTGCTAAAAAAAAATCCTTAATAAGCCAATTGTGCTAGACTTGTTAAGACCGACTACAATGACGTATAACTCACGACTTTAAATGTTTTTAATTTGAGCAGCTATAAAAGTACTTAATTGCTGCCGATGCTATAAAAGTACTTAATTGCTGCCGATCTTTTCTCCGTAAGCAAAAATACAAATGATGGCGTGGCTGATGATTTTATTTCTCAATTGATATTTCTTATTTTTAAGTGATAAAGGAAAAATATTTTTTGGTCGGTAAAAAAGGCTTGACAACAGTATTGAGAGCATATTCTACAAAGAAAGAAACGATAATAAAATGTTTTAGCTTATCCATGTTGCTATTTATACTTCTTATGTTAATGTGTATTACAGTAAAATTACTCTCTAAGGTTTTTAGTTCGTTTTTAAAAGTTTTTATTTCAAAAAAGGATGAACTAAAATTTTTTTTTTTTTTTTTTTTTTTTATAAAACAATATTTATCTACAATTTTATAAATAACATTATCTATGGTTACTATAATAATCATATTGCTTTACGATATTCGTTCTATAAATAAATGTATAATAAATACATATTTCCTTTTACAAATACGTTTTACTTACATAAATATATATTTTTTTAATTTTTTTTTTTTTTTTTTTTTTAAATTTTTTTTTTTAATTTTTTAATTTTTTGTATTTTTTTGATTTTATATTTTTTTGTATTTTCGATTTTATTTTTTTTTTGTATTTTTTTTTTTTTTTTTGGGCCGATGTGCGGAAGGAAATCAAAGATTTAAAAATTAAGATTAAGGTTATTAAAAAAAGTTTAAAAGATTTTAATAAAGATAAAAAGGTTTAATTCGAGGATAAACTATAATAATAAAAAATTACAGGACTTTTACACAAACATAACGTTACGAACATTACAGATAACACTTATAAGTTAGAATTATGTGATAACATAAGGGCTGGCAGTGATTGTCTAATGATAAATAAGTATAACTTTGTTGTATAATGGTATTCGTAGAGAGGAAGAAAACCTTACTAAACGTGCAGATCTTTCTTTGAGCCTTTTTTAGCTCATATGTTTAGTTTTAGTTTTCCGTTCTCTACTTGGCAAATTATATTCTTAACACAAAAATATTGACAGAAAATGTTCGCAGTGTTTCTACGGACATGATAATTATATTTTAAAGTAATAATATTTCTGATGTTTCCTGATTATTACCCTGGCATCTGCCACCACATGTTTAGTAATATAAAAACTGACCCAATGGCAGTAATGTAAAAACTGACCCAATTGCACTCATGATGGTTTGAGTGAGTGTGAACAGCAGTTGCGAAACAGGGCTCTTTTCCGACAGATTCGCTAACCCAAATCGAGAAAATTGAATTTATCGGAGAAAAATTTTTTTTGGGATGTCAAGGAGTTATATACATGTTTAAAATACTCCCATATTTCAATAGAAGGAGGACAGTAGGCAAATATGTGGATTTTGTCCTCGATTTTACCGCAAGTTTTTACATTTGTTGTTTCTTACAATCTGTTGCCTTGTGTTTTTGGCTATCAA